CTGGGAGGTAAGTGGGAGGGTTCTGGGGTCCTGGGTGTCAAAGATCCGGTGGTCCTGAGGCCCGGTAAACTGAGTCCAGGAACTGGAAGTCCGGTCTCCCACAATCCAGATCCTTGGAGCTAATAGACCGGCCCGAATCGGCCCAAATCGGCCCAAGCCGGACTGAATCGGCCCAAACAGGTCCAAAACCAGCTCAAAACGCCTAAATCAGCCCGAATCGGTCCAAACAGGCCGAAATCAGCTCAGACAGCCTAAATCGGGACAAACCGGACTAAATCGTCCCAAACGGCCTAAACCGGCCCATAACGCCTTATTCGGCCCAAATCGGTCCAAATCGGCTCAAATCAGCCCAAGTTGGACCAAATCGTTCCAAAACGTCTAAATAGGCCCAAGTCGGCATAAATCGGACTAAATCGGCTCAAATCGGCCAAAATCAGCTCAAACGGCCTTCAATCGGCCTAAATCAGCTCAGTCGGGGCAAATCGGCCCAAAACGGCCCAAGCTGGACTAAATCGGCCCAAAACGCCTAATTCGGTACAAAACGCCTAAATCGGACCAAATAAGCCGAAATCGGCCAAAACGCGTGAATCGGCCCAAATAGGACCAAGTCGGACTAAATCGGTCCAAACAGACCAAAATTGGCCCAAATGGGCCCAAAACGGACCAAGATGGACTGAATCGGCTAAAATCGGTCCAAAAGGCCTGAATCGGCTCAAGCCGGACTAAATCGGCCCAAACGGCTTAAATCGGCCCAAATCGGTCCAATCCGACCCAAATCGGCCCGAGTCGGACTAAATCGGCCCAAACGGCCTAAATCAGCTCAAACGGCCTTGAATTGGCCCAAGTCGGAATAAATCGGCCCAAATCGGCCCAAGCTGGACTAAATCGGCCCAAAACTCCTAAATCGGCCCAAAACGCCCACATCGGCCCAAGTCGGACTAAATCGGCCGAATTGGCCCAAGCTGGACTGAATCGGCCCAAATTGTCCCAACCGGCCTTGATCGGTCTAAATCGGCCCAATCGACCTTGAATCGGCAGAAACCAGCTCGAGCGGCCTACATCGGCCCAAGCCGGACTGAATCGGCCCAAAACGTATAAATCGGCCCAAATAAGTCTAAATCAGCCTAAATGAGCCTAAATCGGCCTAAATAGGCCTGGATCGGCCCAAAACGCCTAAATCGGCTCAAATTGTCCTAAATCGGCCTAAGTCGGACTAAATCACCCCAAATCGGCCCGAGTCAGACTAAATCGGCCCAATACGCCTAAATCGGCCCAAA